ATCACCGGGGGCGCAGACTCGTTCTGCGCGCCACGGCTGGTGACGCTGTGTTGCCCTTGAGCTAGTCCTTCCCCGGTCGCCTAGCCTCTGCGCTGTCTGGCGGACGCCTGTATGCCATGCGCGCGGACCACGCTTGCGTGGATACGTGGCTGGCAGGCTGACCCGTGTGCGGGGTAACCCGCGCACGGGGAAGCTTCACGGGTTCGAGTCGCCAAACATTAAGCAGCGGAGGTGTGCCGAGGGGGACCGGGTGGCGGTAAGTCGTCGTCGCCCGGCGCTGCTTGCAGCACCATGGCGATGGCGCTAAGAGGTTCCTCTTTTCCGCGCCCCCCCCCCCCCCCCGCAAGGGGCGCGATACACACATGATTAGGGACTAGGCCCCCCAGGGCATGAATAAAAAAGCAGCAGCCTTTTCTTTTTCTCCTCCCCCCCGACCCTCTTCACACCCGCAGGCCGAGGAATACCAGTGGACTGCGTGCCCCTCAACTTGTTGCGCGACTTCAGGAGCCCCGGGAAGCGCTCCCCGTAGCCCGTGATCTTGTCGAGGATGCGCTCCCGGTAGCCGGAGGAAACATGATGTGGACAAGTCGGCCATAGTGCGGGCGGGCTGGGCAAGCGCTGTACTAGTCCGTCGGTTCACGCAAGCTGCGCCGCCTCGCGCGCAAAGTCGCGCGCGGCAGCGTTGACCGCACAGCCTACTCGCCCAAGTACTCGCTCTCTTGTATGTCCCACCATGCAGAGCGCATCTCTCTCTCTCTGTTGTGCGAGGCGTGAACCGCGCCATTCGCTCTCACCTGGCAACCCTGTCTGCACGTCCGTCGGCGTCGACGGCGCCGCTGCGCCGGCTAACCGACCGGCGTCGGGCGGCGCCAGCGTTATTTGCGAAGGAAGAGTCGATGACGACGATTCCCGCCGCGTCGAGAACGTCGTCTGGGACGTTGTACTGGTGTGTGTGCCAGCCGCCGGCGGCAGGGGGGAAGGAGGAGGACACGGACACGGAGGGGGGGCGACGGAAGAAAAATCGAAGCCAGATTGCGCCTGACGACGTACCAGCCGGCAAGCGGCGGCGATGCCCTCGCTCGCGGACGAGATCGCGGACCTGCTCAACCCCGCGCCCCGCGATGTCGACGGCGACCAGGACGGCGACGGCTACCTCACCGCTGCGGAGCGGCCGTCGCTGCTCACCGACTCTGAGCGGGCCTCGGCGGCGGCGCCTGCCGGCGGGAGGCGGATGCGCGGTGCCGGCATCCAGATGAGCGCGGCGGAGGCGGCGCGGTACGCCGGCCGCAAGGTGAGTCGCGACAAGCTCTTTGGCCGCTCAGCGCTGCGGCGGCCGCGGCAGCAGGCGGCGGCAGAGGAGGAGGGCGGCCCGGAAGACGGAGCCTTTGTGGACGACGGCGAGGAGGACGCCGACGGCGACGAGGAGGGCGACCCTATGCTGTACGACATGCGCAGCGACGACGACGACGACGGCGGCGGCGACGAGGAGGAGGACGAGGAGGGCGAGGAGGACGAGGAGGGCGGCAGCGGAGAGGAGGAGAGCGGAGAGGACAGTGGCGGCGAGGAGGAGAGCGGCGAGGAGGGCGGTGAGCTATCCAGCGGCGAGGAGGGCGCCAGCGACGACGGCGACGGCGCGCGCGGAGACGACGGCAGCGGAGACGGCGGCGGCGACAGCGACGGCGGCGGCGGCGGCGACGGCGACGGCGCGCGGCGGCGGCGGCGGCGGCGAGGGGAGGAGGGCGGCGGCAGTTTGTATGCAGAGTGGGCTCAGCTGGCGGAGGGGGAGAGCTCGCTGCTGCAGCAGCTGCAGGCCTCGCGGGCCGACGAGGCGGAGGCTGCGGAGCACACCCGCAGGCGACAGACGACCATCCCGCAGCCGCTGAGTGATGAGTCCTTCCTTCGGCGACGGCGACGACTTTCGCTACTAGGCAGCACACGATGAGCCTGCAGCTGCTGCATGTGCGCATCAAGCTGCAGCAGGCGCGTCTCCCCCTCCCCCCCTCCTCTCCCTCT